GCAAATAGAACATACTAATGAAACATTAAAAGGCCCTCATATAATTCCTTTGACAGCTTGAGGCAATGAAAGAAAACCAATTGAAAAAATTAGGGGTTTAAGCAATTGTTTCATTCTTCACATGCCAACAATCAGACGAAATGAGAATAAAAAACCCTAATTGATGGAGCAATGAAGGAAGAATTGATTGACGTTGACATAGAACAGTTGGAAGGGTTTTATAGATTTAGGCACTTGGGTTTCTATCAGCTCAAGTTTCAGTCAACTCAAGCAGAGAAAGAGAGAGAGCTCCATACTTGGGGAAGACGATGAAGCTACAACCGAAGCAGATGAAGACCACTTTAGCGCAAAAAAACAAATATCGAGCCAAAATATGCTCGCCAAAAATGGCGAGTGAGGTTGGAGAGAAATTTTAGGAGTTGGCTATTCAAAATATTTAAGATTGAGCTTTTAAAGAGTGGGTTGAAATTTCTTTTACATGTTGTAAATATCGAGGGGTCACTGTGTTATTATCTAAATGCTAGGGGATTGCTGTATAATTTTGACCTAAGATAGGGGTGCGTTTAATTTTTACCCTAGTATAAAATATGTATAAAACATGACTTGACTTTGAATACTTAAGTTAACTTACCACAATAGTGATTGAGATTCATTCAATCCAATGACTCAAAATTATCCTAAAAAAATCTCCCCCTAAAAAAAACTTGAAAATCTCATTCATCCCAGAATCTATTACCAAAACACAGTTGCTTTGGAACTTTAATACCAAACTACGACACTTTTGAACTTATTTACCAAACTATGACACTTTTTAAAAGCAGAGTCAATAATTCTGTTTTTTTTAAAAAACCGATTCAACAACCCCGCTTTTGTTAAAAAAGGGGGATCAACGATCCCACTTTCAAGGAAAAAATTTGGGCAATGTGAAAAGCGTGTTTTGTAAACACGCTTTTTATGATTTTTTGTGAAAAGTAAACACGTTATTCACACTCTTTCACATGTACCATTACTGAGAACCAGTGACCTCCAATATTAAGGGGATGATCTTTTATAGGACCTCGACGCTACATCACTTTAAGAAATGGGAGTTGGCTTGACGATGAGAATTGTAAAAGGACAGAACCAGTAAAGGAAGGAGTGTTTGAGTAAAATGAGATGGTGAAAATTATTCGTGATGTTGAATTAGAAGAATTTGAGGTAGCAGCAGCTAAAGCCTCTGAAATAGGGGTGAATCTTAAACTTTTTGATGTAAACCCTCTTTTATTATTGAGGCCTGATGGACACCCAGATCCATATCAACGCTTTCACCCATTTGTAAAGGATAAGAATGCAAAAATTGTTAATGGCTGCCTGCATTGGTGTTTGTTTGGTCTGATAGATTCTTGGAATGATTTGCTCATGGAAACAGTGATGAATGGTTGAGATGATTAGGAATCAAAGCTGGCAAAGTTGTTTGTTGGGATAAACCATTTAGTTCTTACCATGTCCAGAAAAAGAAAGAAGAGGCAAAAGGATTTTCTAGGTAAATCCATTTGTGGGGGTATACCCATTTAGTTCTTACCATGTCAATTTCAGAACTCACAGCCAATGTTGCATTATCGGAGAAGCAAGCTTTGATTTGACATTAGCCTGACTTAGAATTTGATGGCGAGGATTTGAGTGTGAAGGAAAAGGAAAATCAAAATTTGATTGGACAATTGGGTGTATAGAGTTTAATTCTATGAAGTGGGTATGGCGAGAAAAGAGGAGGGTGCTTGAGAGGGAAGGGTTTAGTTGCATTGCAGAGAGAATTCATTCCTTCAAATATTTGCCCAAGGGAGGATGAGTATGGAGGTTTTGGATACGAAGATAAGGAATCTCTTTACACCAATTGAAACACATGAAAAACGTAGTTACTAACCACGCTTTTAACGTGTTTCAGTTCATTATTTTGGACCACATTTTTTATTTAAAAGTGGGATCATTTATCTCATTTTTTTTTAACAAAAATGGGGTTGTTGAATTCGCTTTTTAATAAAAATAGAATTATTAATTTTACTTTTGAAAAGTGTCATAGTTTGGTAAATAAGTTCAAAAATGTCGTATTTTAGTATTAAAGTTCCAAAACAACTGTATTTTGATAATAGATTCACTCATCTCATATACTTTCACATTAACCAAGGTAAGACTAAGTATTTCTCTTTCTCGTCTCTTTTTTCTATCTAGAGCCTTTTAAATTTTATCTTCCACATATTTTTTCCAACCATTCCTATTACATCTCTAATTTATATTACAAGTTGAATCATGTAATTTTTTGATTAATTTGTTACTCAATATAATTTTTATTTTAAATATTGTTCATATATGATAATTTACACATTGATATTTTTTAGATCATATATTTTGAGAAAATTTTGTCAATTTATTAAAAAATAATGAGCATAATTTAATTTCAAATCATCTAATTAAAGAAAGGGAAAAAAATTACTATTTGATACAATGAGATCAATTTTTTGAGTGCTTAGATTTTATGTTATATCGTACCTTCACGGGTTATGAAAAGTATCAAATAAATTAAAAAAAAGAATGAGCAAAAAAATTGAGTAAGCTATTTCAAGCCTTTTTTTTTTTTTTCACATTAAAAAAAGTCATCTTCTTCACTTATTTCCTTTTGAATATTATAACATAAATTATTTCCACAATTTTCGTCATCCTAATCCAATTTATGTACAAGTAGATAATATTTATATTTATATAATAAAGTAGAACGAATTTGAATTTTGAAGACAAAGAATAGTCTAGATCATTTCGTAACAAAAAAAAGCCATCATCTAACGAACGACGTTTTCTTAAACTGTCTCGAGCTATTGACGTCTCAGATCGTTTTGATCCGACGTACCACATTAACTTTTTTAAAATATTTTTGCAGCTCAAAATTTATAGTTTCCAAAATTGATATTCCAAACTTTAATTCTTCCAAATCTTTTCCTTAAATTAAGTAAATATCTTCCTCTCATTTCTCTGTATCTTTCTCTCATGTTCAATTCACACAAAAAGTATCAATTTTTTACAATATTTTCTTCTATATCTCTCTCCGTATCTCACGAAAATATTAGATAGTGTTTGATTCAAGCAAATACTACTCTCTGTAGATAGATAGTATATATCACAGAGAGATAATATATTATGAAAATATTCCTCTGTATCTCTCTCTGGAGAAAAATTATATAATAAATATTAGATAGTATATATCACGAAAATATTCTTCTGTATCTCTCTCTTTCATTCAAACAACATTACAAATACGTATCATAAAAATTCAATAGTCAACTTTATTTTTTTCATAATCAATAAAAAAAAAACATAACGTGCAAAAAAATTAATTTAACAAAAAAAATATGTTTAACATGTAAAATATACAAGATTAAATTTAAGTTATTGGACAACTTAGATATTAAGAGATATATTAAAGAAAATATGTTTAACATTTAAAATATACAATATTAAATTCATATACAAACATGAATCATGCAAATTCAATATTTAGTGAACAACACAAAGCAACAATATTTACCAAATAATCCAAATATAAATACCCAAGAAAAAAGATACAAAATTACAAGCGAGAGAAACGATATAAAATTATAAGTAATACTATGAACACGAATCATACAAATTCAATATTTAGTAAACAAATTAAAACAACAAATCTTTACTAAATAATCCAATACTAAATAACGTTTAGTTTAAAAAAATATACTAAGAACATAAATAACTGAGAAAAATGATATAAAATTAAAAGTACTATTATAAACTCGAATCACACAAATTCAATAGTTAATTTTATTTTTTTCATAATTAATAAAAAAAATAAATTACAAAAAATTTAATTTAACAAAGAAAATATGTTTAACATGTAAAATATACAAGATTAAATTCAAGTTAATGGACAACTCAAATATTAAGAGATATATTAAAGAAAATATGATTAACATTTAAAATATACAAGATTAAATTCATATATAAACACGAATTATACAAATTCAATATTTAGTACCTAACACAAAGCAACAATATTTACTAAATAATCTAAATCTAAATATCCAAGAAAAATGATGCAAAATTACAAGTGAGAGAAACGAAATAAAATTATAAGTAATATTATGAACACGAATCATATAAATTAAATATTTATTGAACAACACAAAACAATAATCTTTACTAAATAATTCAATACTAAATAACGTTTACCTTACGAAAATATAATAAAAATACAAATAATTGAGAAGAATGATGTAAAACTAAAAACATTACTATAAACTTAAATCATACAAATTCAATAATCAAGTCGTATCTTTTGGAAGTCGGTTGAATTTCTGATAGTTATATTTGGTCATTTGACAACATCTGCAGAATTAGTTTATTTGTGCGAGTATTGTTTTAATTTTCATTCTATTAGTTAGGAATTCTGTTATTATTTAGATAAAGTTGATTATGAATGTTAAAATCGTAGATTTTGAATAAAAAACAAAAAATTGAATATTGTTAACTGATATATTTTTTTAGATGTTTGAATTATTATGTTTCAGTAGTTATAACATAATTTTCGTGGCGTAACAATTTAATGTGAAAATATATGCTATGCATGTAAGTTGATGTTATAAAAAATATTAACAGACTCACTTTGTTCGTCGTTTACTATAATATTATATTATATTTTATATTTATATATAAACAAATATTTTTAACTAATTTACAAATAACATCGGCTAATTGCTAATTCCTTTACAAGCCTCCAAACAATTTTGACCCCAGATTACAATCCTTAAGACCCGTTTTGATGATGACAAATAAGGAAGTAAAAGGCACTAGGCGAGTTGTTTGGTCACTGGAGGACAGCTAAACGAAATGGAATAATCGTATTCTTGGATAAGCCCACACTACCACCAACGCTGTTGAAATATTAGTACTCGGCAAAATCACCCGGCTTTATCCTCTCTCTCTCACTCACGTCGCCAACTATGTCGAGAGGAACAGGCCGTCTTATCAAGAACTTGAAGCAATTTGCGGACCTTCAGTACAAGCTGTTCACTCGCCGCTATGGCCAACAATTGATAGACATCTTTGAATTCCCTGTGAAGCTCGTGTTATCTCCGTTCACGCTTGCCTACGACATTGCTGGCTCGGCTCCACGTGGGTTCGGCGTGCCCGAGTTCATCTCCAAAGTCTCATACTCTGCAATTTTCGTAAGCTCTTCAGATTTTTCATTTCATCAGATAATTAATTGTATTTTTGGTACATTGCGCCATTTAAAACTTTGAAGTTTATGCTTGTCATTTGGTCAATTGGGTCACCATCTATATGTAAATATTCTTGTAATGTATAATCTTCTAGTTTAATTGCAAATACAAGAGTCATGTTTGATTATTTTTTTTTTGTTGCTTTAAGGGGGATTATTGAATGAGGCTTCTTACTTGATTTGGTGGTCGTGGTTGCTTCAATGGGTCGTTCAGTGACACTTGCCATTTCGGTTGAGTGGGTGTACTGGGTGTATTTTTGTTTTTCTACATAGATTTCACCTCGTTGTGATTGTATGTGAAAACTGGCATTTAAACTCTCATATTGTTACTCATATAAATGTTTGCCTTCTTAATTGAGTTACCACACTAGCTTAACTTCACAGGAAAATGGATATCCATTCTCTACGTAAAATTTTGAATTATCAAGGTTACAAAATATTTGATAATTGTAGTGAAATAAGTTTTTAACCATCACTTGATTTGGATTTGATGTTGAGGTCTTGTGGGAAAATTTAAAATAAGTTTCACATCTGATATCATCAACTTCTTATATTTTTCCTTGCATCTATAAGGCCAAAATGTTCGATGGTTTTGTTTCCTGAACGGTTGACTGCAGGTTGTTGCAACTCTTGGCACTTATGATATTGCATTAGAGCTGGGAAAGAAGGTGCTGTGTCAGAGGTGTTATTCAGTTCACTTGAAATTTCCTTAGTAACTGATATCCTCTATTGTTTTATCATTCTATCTCTGATTTTGTATAACTTCTTGTAATACTCTGTGGTTTCATGCCTTGACGACCTAGTGAAATAAAGAGAAAGCTATCCGACTATCACTTTCTCATGCATTCAGTTTAGTCCTAACCTATTTGGTTGTAGGCACATCTCACAAGCCAATGCCATAATAGCTTCTGTATCATCATCATCATCTCTCTCTCTCTCTCTCTCTCTCGTGTCTGGTTTTGCACTTATGCTCTGCAAGCTAATGGATGCCAAATAGATATTAGTCACCCAGTGAATTCCCAGTCATCCAGCCACTTGCCACATTCGTGGATTGTTTTTTTTTTAAAATGATTACATGTAGCAAAAACTGCAAATTAATATATATGCCAGGCCTTGCACCATACAACTGGACAATTTTTAGAATTCAACAGTTGTCTTAGTTCAATGTGATTTCGCTAACCCAGACAAAAATTTGGATAGCAGTACTAGACCTTAGCTAAGCATTTGGCTATTAACTTTGCATATGTAGGCAACCACTTTGAAGAAACCTTGTTTTTTGTTTATTACTTTACGTGTTTTTCAAGAAACAATGGAAGGAACATCTTCGTTACTTTCTGTTTGGCAATTGCAAAAGAGCACCTGTGGGGCCACAAAAGTTCTCGCAAAATGTCATATTTTGTTGATCATTATGATTTGGAAGCTCTTCTATACAAAATGTATGCCTATACTGCTTCTTCTATGCTTGCTTATAGTAGAGTGATACAACTCTCCACACTAACCTCATTCTTCTACTAAGCCAAATCTGACTCAAACACCTCACAACATCAATTTATTGTTTAGACTAGATTGTCTCCAAGAGTTCCCTCCACCTCAACCAACATGCTCAAAATTAGTTCTCAAAATGCCAAAGTAGGAGTTCCTTGGGATTATTAGTTCAATACCATTATTAGTATACACATGAATTCATACACTATTACAGCCATACAAATGTTTGGTTCTCAAAGGTTTCCTAATAGACACTCCTTGTAATCACTAATTAAGTGTTGAGAAAACCTACTGTGGGTTTCTTTTTATTTCTGTGGCTCTTTCCAAAAAGCGTGAATGCAAAAAAAAAAAACATCCCCAGTATAAGCTTATGTGCATTCAAGGATTTGTGCTTCAGTGGAAATGTTCACCCATACCGGGTTTTAATGCCTTTTTTGATCTTTGAAATGGAAATCTACCTGTCCTTGAATGATAATTAGATGCAAAATCAACTAACACCCTTTACTGTTTCACCACACTATTGTATCATTTAAAGGTAGCTACAGAGTTTTGTTCAGTATAGATGCTTGATTTTCAACTGCAGGAACTGTCAGACTTGCAATGGATGGCAGGCATTGCAGTGTACGATGTGCAAAGGCTCAGGGAAGGTGCAATACCAGGTGAAAAATTACACCTTAAAAAGGTAGGCCTGTAAATAATGCATTTCTATTTCTGTACTGGCAGGACACGTAGATGGTTCTGTTGAAAATACAAATAATGTATCCTTAACCAGGATGTCTGTCTAATTTGCTCATAAATATCCTGCAGTGGAGAGAAGGCAACGGCTGAATGCATTGCGGATGCCATTGCCGAGAACCGAGCTGAGTTGGTGCACCTTCCTTCCACCATGGATCTTCATCTGCCATTACCATCTAAAGATTGCCCAAGTTGTGATGGATCGGTTAGTGCTACACTGCAAGAACATTTGACTATTTTCCGATCTTTTGACCATGGAAGCTTAATTTCATCAATATCTTCATCTAAAATTTCATCATGCTACTGTTTTATGCACTGTATTTGTCTTTGATGCTACTTTAGTCCAATGTGAATAGCATATTACCGTTAGTCTGTGATGGAATAACCTGTATTCTCCTGGTTCAGGCTATGTTGTTTTAATCTTGTTCTAAAGTATTTTTGGGAGAATTTTGAGTTAAAATTTGAGGTCAAGGCGCATACAGTGGTGACAAATGACTTTTTGTCATATATATATATATATATATATTTTTTTTTTTTTCCTTCTGTTTTTTAGTTTTTCGTTCATATTTATAGCCTAAGCTGCATAAGGCATCTCAAATATAAGTGTAGATTACTCATGAAGAATGTATTAATGATGCAGGGTGTGATGAAATGTGCAGAATGCAAAGACAAGTTACAAATTAGGATCTCTGCAGATGATGTGAGTCTCTTTCTCAAAGTGTTACTCTTTGATTCTTTGTTTCTTTTTTTCATTTGTGTGTTTGTTGTTTATCTCTTGTAATGCTTCATCTTTATATTACCTTTTTGTGTCTGCAGATAATGGAGCCTCCATGGAAAGCATATAACATCATGAGAAAGATGGACTACCCTTATGAGGTTTTTGTCATTTTTTTTTTCTTTTGCATTTATTCACTGATAATATGATGATGTTTCAGTATTCCTTTGAGGCGAATGCGGTCCTTTCTGTCCAGTTTATTGTCCGTTCTATTTTTATACACAATCAGGGCTTCTTTGTGGAGGTGTAGGGGCTGCTTCATTAGTGTTCCTGTACTGGTCTTAGTCTCCTGTAAAGGTTTTACTTGTTAGGAAAATTTGGTTCTACTAGATTATTTTAGCTTAGTAATTAGCAGCCTAAGGAACTGAATTGCGAGGCTTTTTTGAAAGACACGACACCGGGGTTGGGTTCAGTGATTAAAGCAAATTAGTTTTGGTGAGAGTTGTGACTTTTTTGTTGTCATTTGATTCTTTATTTTTCTTGTTCTGCTTTGTCTAAGTTTCTCTTGAAAAGCCTCCCCCCCTTCTCTCTCTCTTTCTCCCGACATGAGTATGGGTTCATTCAGTAAATAAGTGGGTTTATACTTTATCCTTGTACTTATGATTCAGTTTGAACATCTTACTTTTATTTTTGATTCTTGATTTGTTTGCTGTTTCAGCATATTGTTGACAGCATGAGAGACCCCAGCATTGCTGCATTCTGGTTGATCACCCTGCCTCAGATTGTAGGAGGATTTGAATATGATGACGATGTCAAGCAGAAAATTTGGTGGCAATATAAGGTTTTATTGCATTCGCTTCCTTCTTTTCTGGAGATCCTGGAATACATCTTTTGTGTAATCAACATTTCTCTGTTATTTTTATGAATGATAGTCGAGTGTAATGCTCACGAGTGTCAATAAAGAATTCTGCAATTATGAATATCCTTGAATGCAAAAGAAGGGAAAAAGAGGAGAAAAGAAAGAAAAAGAACTGTATTTGCAGATAAAAAGTGATCGACTGCATGTGCAAAATTTCATTTAACACGCATCTGCATATTGGTGACACATTCTGATCTTACACAATGGACCTCCACTTTTTCTCTTCCAGACCAACAGCCCTCAAATGTATGTGTGATAAGTTTATGTTCAAAGATATAAACAAAGCTTGTGTGTGAGAACATGCTTCTATGTCTTATTTTTAAGCCTAGTTCACTTTACTGAATTAGAGTAGTGAGTGTTTGTGGTCCACAGAGCCATCGTCTAGGTCAAAGCATATATTACTGAATAGCATTGTTCAAGTTTTATTATAGCTGTTTCCATTCTAAAGGATGGTGACCACCTGATTATTTTTCTTTTCCTGAAAGGATATTGTTATATTGTATACAAGACATAACCATTATGCGCTATTATTTGAGTCAGCTACCATGCTGCTGTATGTCTTGTTCAATTGATTGCTTGGTGCATGATTGCTATATCAGCATGTAATTATTTGTTTTTCATCTGATTAGGAATCTATGCGGTATGATCAACTCCGTGATGTGGTAGCTAAGCGGAAACCTGGGTGGGAGTACTTGCAAGAAGTAAGATAATTCTCCTTATGATTAACATTTCTTCCCCTGGACTCATTTGCTTTATGATTAATTCATGACAATAGTGAGTCTAGTAAGCATGTTATTATTCAGTTGCAGATTTTGTTTTGCTTTTTAATTTGATAGCTTTTGCCTTTTGCTGTGTCTCAATCTCTCGTTTATCTCTTGCTAACACCCCCCAACCCTTCACACACATGTTTGTTTGCGTACTTTCAAATGACAGGCAATCCTAAAGCGGAGGATTGAGAATTCAAGCATAACCCTTGTTTGTTTCACCTCAAAGCATTAACCATGTTTAAGATGTTAATTTTAAACCCAAGAGATAATTCTGCAATTGTGTATCTAAATTAATAGATCATGTACATGTTATGCATTGGAAAGTTGAGAAACCCACTTGGAATCTTGCCCATTCAGTAAGAGAGAATACAACGACATCAAGCTCTAGCCTCATGAGGAGTGAAGATTGACATAAGATTTCATGCCCTTTTTCTTTTTCATAATGTCAGAGTGTTACATTCCTATTATGTCGCTTTCCTATTGTTCTACTTTCCTATTATGTGATTTTTCTATTGTGTTCCATTTTCTTAATATTGTACTTGTTTTCAATATCAATCTAATATGATAGTGTGTTAGCAATATACACCCTATACAATGTTGTTTCATAATCTCTTTCTTTCTCTCTTCTTCTTCTCTCTCTCTCTCTCTCTCTTTTTTCGTATTAATCCTAAATACAATTATTTTAAGTTTCAATTTGGTATCAGAAAAAGATACTTGGACAAAGTGGGGCTTGGCTCAAGGCTGTGCCTCATTCGCCTAGTGGTTGGACCGGCCCAGCACACATTAAGTTGTAGTCATTTGCTTGTTTGCCAGTTGTTGTTGTCACTAGAATCACGCTAAGTTTCTGTTTCCTAGTCACCAGTCTCTTCATTAGTTACTCATTGGTTGCTGTGATCATTATCAATTGTTTTGAGGTGTTTGAATCCATGCTCACGTCTTTTTTATTTGATCATCGGTACGAATTCTAATGTTTTTAGGCCAGTTCAGTGATATTTTGCCTAGTTTAGTGCTGGTTTAATGGATTGTTTTTATATCTCAGTTCAATTCCGATTTAGTATATTTTAGTCTGATTTAGTGTTTGCTTGGTTTAGTGGTTTTCATGCTAGTTTTGTGTTGGTTTAGTGGTTTTCATTTTGATTCATTATTTTTGACCCGATTTTTTTCGATAAGAAACAACATTTTATTGATAAAAAAAAATTACAAAAAATTAGAATCGCATCAAATGTGGACAAGTAGTCCAAACAAAAGCAAGCCTATGTAACCAAAACAAACAAATTACAATCCACATGACTCTTTCCAACTTGTTCTAATAAAAAAAAGGAATATCTTGAAATTCCTTGGACATAGATGCCCAAAAAGAAGCCCAAAAATATATCCTTTTGCATAGAGCTTCAAAATCTTTGTATTTATCCTTAAAAATCCTTACTTTTTTTTCCTCGCATTTCTTTTCGACTCGATTTGGTGCGGTTTTTAGGACAGTTTGGTTCTGATTTAGTGGTTTTTATCCCACTTTAATTCCAATTCAGTGTTTTCAACTCAGTCTAGTGCTGGTTCACTGGTTTTTGATATAGTTTGGTGCTAGTTTAGTGCTTTTCATCTCGGTTTGATTTCAGTTTAGTTTTTCGACCTAGTTTAGTGTCGGTTCAATGGTTTTTAACACAGTTTGGTGTTAGTTTAGTATTTTTCATCCCAATTTTGGGGTTTTCATCCCAGTTTAATATTTGTTTTGTGGTTTTTAGCACCGGTTTAGCCACGTTTTGATTGATTCAACTTCGGTTTTCCATGGTTTAACTTGTTTTCAATTGTTGCGGTTTTATTTGTTGTTGCTTGTGGCTCAATGTGGTGTTGTTGGTTGTGTTCGTTCTTGACGGTATTGTCGGTGGTGCTGGTGTTGTGTTTGTCCTTTGCCTTCACTATGTTTTTGTGCTATTTCTTGTTTTGGTGTGGTCATCAATTGCTTCTCTAGAAAACAAAACGGATGTCATATACTTCACACAGGTCAACCACTTGAACTTATTGCTCAAGGGGAGTATTGTGGTAGTGTGGGTCATCGATTAACAAAGTCTTTGAATGGTCTGAAGCAATTATGTGGAGCTTGGTTTTTTTATTCTTATTGTCTATGTAGATATTGCAATCAACTCGATGACTTTCTCACCAAACCATTAGTGCAGCCACCTTTAATAACCTTTATTTCAAGTTGGACATTTTTTTATCTCTATGCTACAGCTTGAGGAGGAGTGTTAGATTGTTACTTTCCTATTATGTCCCTTTTTTATTATTCTATATTTATATTATGTCACTTTCCTATCATTCTACTTTTATATTATGTGGTTTTCTATTATGTTATACTTTTCTAATATTTTAATTGTCTTAAATATTAATTTAATATAAATAAGAGAGAATGTGTTGGCAACATTCACCCTACACAATATTGTTTCGTTATCTTTTTCTTCCTCTCTTCTTCTTGTCTTTTTTTCATTAACCCTAACATACAATTATTCAAGTTTTAACTATAATTAATGATTCTAGTTGCTTTTAAATGCTTTGAACTCATTTCCTTGTCCACTGTCATGGATGGCTTCACCATGGCCACAAAAGAAAGCGAGGAAAGTGGGGCAAGAAAACAATAGAAATCTCTGTTCAGAAACGCAGTGTACATGGAATTGCTATGTCAGACTGTCAAAGTCCTGGTCAAATTCTTGGTGCTTGGCCTTGTGGCTTCAGTGATGAACAGATAAATGGCTTTGCAACTTATGATTGGATATCATAGAGCATTATCTTACCATCCTTCCAGTCTACTTGGTCATACTTGATGGGTTACTCCGCATGTCTTTGATTTTTGAACCATCTCCATTTTTAAAAGTCAACAAGGTCTTTATTCATACATGAATTTCCTTTGTATATGAGTTTGAAATGTCTTGAATTACCAATATTTCCTGAATGAGGGGGAAAAATAAATTGAATTTTTTTTTGAGAAATTCCAGGAGTAAGAAATCTGTCTTTTGCAGGCCCTAATCTCCATAGATCCTGCCCGTGCTAGGGATGATCCTGTTATTGTGAAAAACATCCCTTACTACAAGGCCAAGAAGGCACTGGAAACAGAAGTTATGAAGTTTGATCCTCCACCACGACCTCAAAATTGGGGGGTATGTGTTATGTTTCTTTAGTTCATTTCCTATTAGTTCTTTAATCTGGAGTAATGTGAACGTTTTACCAAGCTTGGAATAATCTTACGTTTACCCTTCATTGAACTAAATCCTACTATGGAATTTCATGAAATGACCCAATAAATTTGATGTAAGTGGGTTTTGGTCTTGTTGGTTGATCATGAATAATGTGCTTTTGGAAACAAATCAAATGGTGGATGTTTAGCAAGATGAAATGGTGACAACATTGCACCCATGCATATCTTTACGTCCTTATTTGTGTATGTGTGAGTGCATGATGAGCCAACTTTTTTCAGTAGTTTGATACTTGTCTGGCATAAATGGGACGTCCAGAGTTATCACCTCTGTATGTTGGTTACATGAACAAAGAGGTTTTTGTTATTGTTCATGAAATAATGCAAATATGCAATTGATGTAAAGCAATTTGCAGGACCTGAACCTTCCGCTGAATGCGTCCTCCTGGAGTGTCGAGGACCTCAAAGATCCAAAGAAATTATATGAGATGACAGTTCTTCTCAATGCCCAAAGAGAAATTGCTGAGAAAATCTTGGATACACAGTGGGAAACGAAGTGGCGCCAAGAAAAGGTTTGTGAGTCAAAGTTTTCTTGCAGTCTCATTCACTTCTGGACATAGATTTGTATTTTTATGATGCATGGCACGTGCAAGGCTGTTGTTGGAAGAAGTGTGTAAGATGTTAATCTTAATCGCCTAGTTCTACCTCGTTTTTGGCTCTGAACAGCTGATTGAAGTATATTTATCTTTTGATTCTTAACTGCTAGTTCTATAAATATAGATGTCTTATTTTTATACTAGGAAATCTTTGGGGAAAGCTATATCAATAACACCATTGAAATTGAACTCCTTTTTGGTGTTCCTTGCATTCTTAGTACAATCCCTGTACCACTATGGTTTCCAAAAACTATGTGAAAGTAAGTTTCTAAGTAATTATAATCATGCCACCACGTTTGTGGGTCCAACTCATGGGAAACCAGGGAGCAAAAAGTAAGACTTTTAGGCAATGTTGTCCTTGTCCTATAGGGTGTTGGGTATGTTGTATTGGCAAACTGGTTGAATTCCGTCTGTATTCCCATGCTTCGCAGTTTGAACTTGACCATATTCACCAAGCAATGGTCCCTGGTCATAGGAATACCTTCAATTTCTGTGATACCCTTGTGGGGGTAAAGTGAGCTTATTGGTATTAGTCGACTTGCTGTTGTAAAAATTGATGGAAGTTTTTGAATATGCTCTCTCTCTCTCTCTCTCTCTCACACCCCCCCCAACCCACCCCAAAGACACACACACACCCACCCACCAACACACCTTACTTTGCTGCTTCAGTGCCATCTTCATTGACCAACTGCTCTGACCAACAATTCACAACCACTACTATGATTCATTTTTCCCATGAGTAATTTGAGGGAATTTCCTGTTAGTCTAGTATTGTGCTTGGCTGCCATTGAAATTTTTTGCCCGCATTCCTGGAAAATGTGCTTGCAATTATTCATTCATTTCATGGATGATCAATTTTTTGCAACAACTCTCATGATCCATTTTGATTTTCAGTTGAACAAAATGTTGGAAGAAAAGGTGCAGCCATTCATTCAGAATATTGACAACGCTGTGCTCTCTCAGCCCATAATAATACAATCGCAAAAGAATCAAGATCAAAAGGTTTTTCCCCATTCACCCCTTTCAACTATGTTCTTCACCCCTTTCAACTATGTATGTATTTTTGTAAGATTATTCTGAACTTGAATTGAGAAGTGATTGCAGAAACCCTTTCCAAGATTTCCAATGTTGGGTCCATGACCTCATTTTTTTTCTTCTTTAAATCATTTGCAGACATCATTTTTGCCATTTCTTCCAAGGTTTTGAATTTATCTCTAAAAAGTAGATCCTTTGTAAGTTTTGAGCCTGTTGTAACTGGGTCAACAGAATATAGCGGTTAATCTGTTAATGATCTACATCTTTAAAATGCAGGAGGTGGTGAAATTTTGAAATGTCTTTTGCCTGAAAAAGGATATTAGTGATTACATCAGCCTTGTTTATCCGTTTTATGCAAATGTGGATGATATATACTTGTAGATCACTGGAATTTCTTATTAAGAATCTCGGTTACCAGAATTACTATTCACACTCGTTCAATTAGCCAGTGGCATCAACCTGCTGCCGCTTCCAAGCTAAACAAATAAAAATCCTTCTAAATTCTTTTAGTTGGTGTCCAAAATTTAAATGGATTTTTTTGTGGCAAAAATGTATTGGATAAACAACTTGGGGCTTTGATCATAACAGAATCAGTAAGTTGGATATTGATTTTCTGAGTTAAGATCTTCTTTGTTTTGCGGCAGGGTAGGTTGATCTTTTACTGAGTTCCATGATTTAGATCATTAAAGAACTTGAAAACTAAGGCCTGCGTTCCAATTCTTGTTCGCATCTGCATTGTTACGAAGCTCAATTCTTGAGAATTTGCATTATTTTGATTGAAAATGATGAGGCATCAGTGCTGGGCTTCTAAGGTTGTTCAAAATTGTTATAGTCCATATCTCGCTGCTGCCTGACAGTGCCCTAGCATTTTTGCATTTCATGAAGCCTTTTATATCTCGAAGATCATTTATGATGTTAGGATGTGCCATAGATTTCTGTATGGAGTTGAATTGCACTTTGGATGAACAAGTTTAGGATCCCTCTGTGCACCTCTACCAAATTTTTTCTTGTCATACTGTCCGTCTTATGTTTTCGAAACTATATATACTTTGATAGTCACTGAAATGTGCCACTCATTGGTTCCTTTGGTGTAGAAAAAGAATCGACAACGACGATGGTGGTTGTTTTGATGGTTTTGACCTTTGAGCCCATATCCTGCACACAGAAACGGTGTATCTTGGCTGTGTAATGCCTAGTGGATTTTCTTCAGAGAGGTGCCTTCTAATGGGTATGCAAATTTTATTTTCTTATTGTTCAGGGACCCCTTGTTTTCTTATCTATTGCTGCAATGGAAGATTGTAGACAATATTATCTGTGTGTGTGTTTGTGGGTGGGTGGATGGGTGGGTGTAGTGGTATTGAACATGTGCCAAAATTCATTACTGATAGATCAGCCTTACATATCCTATGTTGTTTGTTCTACTAGTTGATCCTCACGACTCATTTTTATGCTAGCAACAAAGAGCGTTAGTCTAAATGTCTAATGGCAAAGGTGGGAGCCACTGGACTGAGGGTACCGGTATTCGAATCCCTAGGCCTGACTCGTGAGATTCACTAGGTTGGGAGGCTGAAAAAATGACCTCGGGGTCGGGGTGTGACACCAATCACCATTGCTCTACAATCACAAGACAGAAAAGAAAGGAGAAATAAAAAACAATTTGTAGTCATGTCTTTCAATTCAAGGTATGAGTTTGAAGAAAGGAAAGGAAAAGGAGCCTTCCACCCGCACCTGGTAGAGGAGGATTTAATCAATCACATTCATTTCAAGAAGAGAGAGACATTTCAAAAGTTATAAATAACATCTATAATTTACCCCGTTGCACCCATATTAAATAGCAAATAGTCATGTTACAATCATCAAGGACGTAGCAACATTTCAAAATTCAGAGTTTAGGGTTACAACTACTTTATTAGGTTTTTTTTTTTTTTTTGGGGGATCAAATTTGGAAGTGTTGCAAAACATTTAGCCAAAGAATCACCATTCAACCCCAATTTCTTATTCTTATGATTAACCTTATTATTATTATTGTTATTATTATTATGAACCAGAATGATAGTATCCTTATCTTTATATCCCTTCGTGGTGCCAAGCATGAAAACTCTCAGGTGCGTCTGCCGCACCTGGTGATTGTATTGCAGCCCCGGCTGTAAGGATTAGCCCTGCCATGGGAGTTACAGTTGTAGTAAGATCTTCCACGGCGGTTGCACGGGACGTTGTTCCTCTGCATTGCACCATAGCTGATATACCTTCCTGCTGCGAGTACTCGTCGGGCTGACTCCGACTCCATCATCATCTCCTCGTCCCCATCTATGCAGTCCCCAACAAGCCCATTGCATGTCTGCAATGCCGGTAGCCCACCGTCACCACGTGATTCTCGGGACAATTCGGTGACACCCCAATGGAATGGCGAGGATGATGACTCCGCCACCATGGCCGAGGCCATGAGGAGGAGAAGTAACCCGAGGCGAATAGCCATTAAGGTAACACCGTAACTGATGTAGGACGGATTTAGGAATGAAGAAGTATGAGAAATGGAATGAGGAGAGAGAGAGAGAGGTTGAGGGTGTTTTTGTGTTGAATTTCTCTGCCCTTCCTGTTAAAGGAGGGAGAGAGAAATGAGGGTTGGTTGATGGTGGAGGAGGGGGGAAGCTTTTGAGGGAGAGAAGAGAGAGGTGGTAAAGTTGGATGCGGGACTTAATGGCTGTGAGTTGTGTGACTTAACGTAATTTACGTAGGGGCCATGCATCAAGTGTTGTTTAGGGCCCTATTCTTGCTCCTTGGTTTTCTACGGGCTAGCGCGCGCGCGCACACAACGAGAACTTAGACAACATAATTTTCTTTGGTTATCACTTACCCATCGAGTGTGCCATAAATTCTAGTTATTGATTGTGATACATTAAGACTTGGTATCATCATGTGTACGTAATGATTGATATTGATGAATTAGAAGCAAGCCAATTTGATTAGATTATAGACGATGTAAAAGCATATGAAAATTCAATGTTAACATGATAAATTTAGGTGATTTAAACTCACAAATTTATCTTGAGTTTTTATCTCGAGTAATTTGTTGGGAAAAAATTCTCAACCATTGTAGTTGATTTTCTTAAAGAAGAGAAAATATTTAATATAACGGTAATACCACGTTCTCGATGACGTATAGTACCATTAATCAAATAATCGAACGTTTTACACATTCATCATTTGAATGGTGGTCATAGTCTTTCGTGCTTGCCTATTGATGTGGGGGGCTCTAGGGTGTCCACATCAACCCAATTACAAAACAGAAGATCCAAAATAATTGAACTAAAGGTCGGGTAGGGATGGCCCAGTAATTACACATAACCAAATTGTGACCGTGACCCATTTAAAGAATATCAAAGACACGTGGGTATTAATCAAGAAAAACTCCCATGTTAGTCAAGCATGGACAAGTACCCTTGATCTCAATTCTCAATCCATTCAACAATTCCGATTTTCTACTTTCTGGGATCGAATCATCTCTTGAACTAATAATAAATCTATTTAGTTTCATTTTAATTTATATTTAATTGCAAAAAAAGGTGTGTATTGTTCAGATATCGCGAGTATAGAGTGATACAAATGAAAAAATATGAGCCATTTTTGTTTTTTAGAGGATATGTCCTAAAACTAATTCGAATTATGGTGGTAAACTTAGAATTTGAAGGAGTAATCGAGATCAATCTGGACGCCTTTTTAACAAAAAAGACAAATGACGGTCTTTTTGTAAGTTGAGTGATAAACTTTCAATCTCATTGCAAGAGTCCAAAAACAATCCAATGATGGTTGTATGATACGGTGTTTTGGCCCTTATTAATAGTATAATCTGAATTATTATTGCGATTTAATGAAATCCCTTCTAAGTCTATAAATATTCGAAAAAATAGACAATTACTTTGGTGTTAAAGAATGTCGGCATGATGTGGACGAATAATAAAATATATAAACACATACTGGTTTTTGAAGTGTCAAATAGTGAATGGATTGCTGGTTTCTCGTGATGATGGATTATGTGGCATTTTTCTTATATTTATATGGGTTAATTTGGTTGGTCTAAGTCAAACTTCACTGTCTTGGCTCTTCGAAATTTCTGATGATAATATCTTCCGTAACGTCCATACACCATGATGGTACAAAACTCTAGTCATTAGACTATTGGGTTACCCAAGGATTTTTAGGTGATGGGTCGTGGCCATCAATCTTTGGCCACCTTGTCAGCTGGTGGTGGGGGCACCTTCCATTTGTCTGGCTCTTAATTAAGCTTAATTGAGTTGGAGTTATATTAATTATATTTTGCTCATTTTTTTTGTTTTTTGGATTAATTGCATTGAAAGTCCTTAAATTATGTGGTTTATTTTATTTTGATCCTCAATATTTTAATTACATCATTTCAGTTTTTGAAATATTGAATATGTTTTTATGTGATTCTTCAAGTAAACAATGTCCAAATTATTAACTGTTTTTAATCATAAACTTATAATGTGATACTTAAATATGGGTAAAAAAATTATTTGGATAGCTCTTGATTAAAATTTGGATAACTCTTGACAAAAAATGTGTAATTTGGATAACTTTTAACCAAAATTTCTGTAGTTCATGACTAAAAATATGGAATTTGGAGCTACTTGACCAAAATTTGGATAGAAATTTAGTCAAGAGTTATCAAAATTATTTTTTTTGACCATATTTAAGTATCACTTGACAAGTTTATGATTAAAAATTGTTAGCAATTTAGAAGTTATCTACTTGAGGGACCACATATAAACATATTAAATACTTTAAGAATTAAAATAATGCGATAATAATTTTGGGGATCAAAATGAGACAAACCTAATTATTGGGGCCTATAGTGCAATTAACCTATTTTGTGTGACTGTTTTAGAATTTGAGGAAGAGTTATGTTGTTGTAACCTAAAAAATTGATCTAATAATGTAACAGTAATGGAGTTCAATAATATTGTTCTAAGTAAAAATTTTGCAACAACCATTTTAGTTTATCATATATTCAAAGGCACCCCATCTATTTTTTAAATCTTTACTAACACCCCTTGTCAGATTAAAAATATTAATTAGAATATAATTTTATTAAATTGCTCTTGATATATTTGATAAAAAATTTCATCTACATCCCCTCTAAATAGACATATCTTCAATAAGACTCTCTCTATAACATTTGGATCAATTAAAATTTAATTCGAGTTAATTAAAATTTATTTTTACGTATTAAAATTCGAGTAAATTAAAAATTATATTTTTTTACGTATTAAAATTCAATTTGAGCTAATAAAAAATCAGTTCGAATCAAATTTTAATCAACTCGCATTAAATTTTAATTGACCCGAATTTTGATACATAAAAAAAAATATAAAATTTAATACTCAAAAAATAAATTTTAATCAACTTGAATCCAAATTTAATTGGAACAAATTTTAATAAGTAAAAAAAATATAAATTTTAATCGATTCGAAACGAATTTTAATTGGCTCTAATAGCTCAAATAGAATTCAAATCGGCTCGAATTTTAATACTTAAAATAATTTAAAATTTAATCAACTCAAATCGAATTTTAATTGACTCAAATTTTAGTATGTAGAAAAATAAATTTTAATCAGTTTGAATTTTAATATGTAAAAAAATAAATTTTAATTGGTTCGAATTTTAATCGAATTTTTATGTAGAAAGATTGTTTGAAATTTATACAGGGGTAATTTTAGTATTTTAAATGATTTTTTTGTTAGAAATAGTGGCGTAATGGTAGAGAATGTCACTGATGTTTAAATATAAACTAGAAAAGGTATCAATAATATTTTTTTATAATAGAGAGGGTGTTTTTGAAGATATAATAAAATAGAAAATTTTTTGGTTGAAATTTTCCTTTATTGTAATTATTTTTCCGTGGACTTTATCAATTAAGTTAATATTTTAAATCTCAATAACATTAAATGTATAGATTGATTATTCGGTGAGTCTTTCAAATGAGTAAATATTAGGTGTAACAGTTACATTTTGTCAGCTGTGACGTGGTGTAAATCGTTCAATATTAAATAAGTAAGTAAACAGAAGGACCCCACTTTTTTATATATTAAATAATTGTACTACTTAACAATATTGGCATAGTTATTAACTGTTGTTAACCCAATATTTAATCCGAACTTCCTAATGATGTTCCTACCAAATCTACCACGAGGAGTGTGAGCTTATACTACACAGTTTTTCCGGCGGTGCACATTTCTCTGTCTTTCTCTTTCGCTTTCTGTGCCCCTTTGTTGGTCAAAAGGTGTATAGTGCCGACATTCCCCGCCATCAAGGACTATTTCAATTCACATCTATAATATTAAATAGAATATATTTTAATAAATTTATTTATCGACCTCAAATAAATTTATTCAATAGTCACTAATATTTTTTTTAAAACTATTTACATTATATCAGACACAAATTATTCCTAGTGTTATTATAATAAGTAAAATACTATATAACCTAAATAAAATTTAAAAGTTAAAATTTAGAGTATCTCCAACATATGCTTTAAATGGGCAAAATAGCTAAAATTTAGCTATTTTGGAGCAAAACTTCATCTCCAAAATGTTGTTCCTATTATGTAAAATACATACTTGCTACAAAAGGGAAATGTTGTCCAAAATGTTGTTCGTATTATGTAAAATCCATATTTGCTATATTTAGAGTGTCATTGTAGTAATATGTAAATATTTATATATATTATTTTCTCTCTCTTCCTCATATTTCTTTCATTCTCTCTCTCTATCTCTTTCACTATTCCCAAAAAATATAATACAAAAAGGATAATAAATAATATTTAAAAGGAGTAGTGAAAAATATAAAAAATCTGTTGGAGTATGTATTGAAAAAAATGAGTAGCTAAAATAGAAAAAGTTATTTTTTGAGTAGCTAAAATAACTATTATTGTTAGAGATGCTCTTAAATGCATATGATTTGTTGGATGATACTTAGATGAGTAGGTTCTACAAAAAAAAAAAAAATTGATGAGACTGACGCCTCAAAAATGATGATATACATTTAGTTTATAATTTTTTAGATTTTATTTCAATTTTATAGTATTGCTATGATAATAATACACTACTTTAATATAAGTGGTTAGATTAATAAATCTCACATAATTTATTAAACAACCAATAAATCTAAAAAAAAATGATACACAAAAGTGGTGGCCACAGTCAATCTTCAATACTAGTCCTACCGGGTGTGATGATGACCTTGAAGTTATAACTATCATGGTGGTGGTATGATGGTTCTTGGAGGCTATGGAGGGTGGTGATGATTAAGATACTTTTTGATTTAAGAATTTATTAATGGGTTTTCCATGAAAAAAAAAGAGAGTAGTTCTTGATGGGTTTCATGGTAAATGGACACTCATCACCAGAGTGAAGAAAAACTATACACCCGTTCAAATGAAAGCCAAATAGAGATAGAAAGAAGTAGCAGACCCACCATCCTTTTTTGCAAAAACTATTTTATTATTAATTGTGTAATCAAACAATGAGTAAAATAAAACAAGAAACGAAGATGTATAGAGGGAAATTCGCAGGATTGTGGTGAAAGAAAGAGCATAATCGGAACTTATCCAAGGAGATATTCACTGGATTTGACCATGGTA